ACCAAAGAAGAAAAACATCTTTCAAAAAAATCAATTAATTCGCCTCTTCTTGCTACTTAAAGACTCTCTGTCTACCGGCATGCATTGCGCGCGTCGTCGGAGGTTTCGTGGACCACTGAATCCTCCAATTTATTGTTGTCGATCGTTTCGCCCTTCAATCCTCTATAATTCGAAGCTTCCATCTAGATTGTTCTGTATTTATGGCCTTTAAAGACAAGATTCATTATCGCCCTTAACGTTGAGGGGTACCTTTGATCGCAAATTGGTAGTATTTCATATATTTTAGAAGCTAAAGAACGGTCGGTACGATGTGGTTTCGGCCGTGGCGACTGCAAAGAACCTTTGTGGAAGGTGTAGATCATAGACGTTCTTTAAAAAAATTATCTGAGAAAATCTGTCCAGGATCGGTGAGAAACAGTTAAGATGTACTCTAATACAAGAACTGAAAAATACTCCCGCTTGCTGCAGAAAGTGACATTGAATTGAATTTTCCTTCGCGATGCTAGCCTTCAGAAAGGACTATCGCATCGCTTGTGGGTTCATCCAATTTGAGGTTAACTTTGGCGAGATTTCTTGAAAATCTATTTCGATAAAAAGTGAAAAGTGCTTTATCTAATGCGTTTTATTTCTGGTAAAGAAAACTAACCTTTTATTGCAAAAAGAGCGAAATGAAAACGTTTTAGTTTTCGTACGTGACCGGCCATCGGTAACAACACTGTAGGGATTCTGGGGCGCGGTATTAAATCTTCAACGAAAAAAATAATACTCGTTACTCTTATTCTACATCATGACAAAGAAAGTATGCTAAGCATAGTAAATACTGTACTTCTGTATATACGCTTCTGAAAGCAAATAAAAGGCAAATTTGTTTCATGGAATTGTGTCAAGTCTCTGCATGACGCGTATGGCTGCAGGAACTTGTAGCTGACATTGTCACCGCGCGACGCAAAGTCAGAATTTCCAAACTACAGTTTTAAGCCAAATTGCGTCTAAAGCAAACATCTTATATCAATTTCTACCAGTGAATTATATTTTAGGTCAGCAAATGTCCCAGATCCTTCTGAGTTTTCTAACGCTTTTCTTTAGCGACATAATCAAAACATTCCGGTCGACAGAGAGTCTTTCAGCCCCTTCCAACTGATCATAAAAAATACCGAAATATCACAATATATAACGACTTAAGACTGGAGAAGAGTGCAAACACTAACTTTCATTTAACTTTAGCATCACAGTTATTTTGTTTCTAGCTCAAGGGTGACTTCGGTCTCTACAGCCATCTTCAAATGAAGGAGATTCCTAACTGCTTGTTTGGCAGCCTCCCGAAGGTCAGCCACGCGCCAAAAATAAATCAAAGGATTCGCTGCAGAATTTCCAAAAATGAACAGAACCGCCAGTGAATGAGCTGCAGATGTTCTCATGTCTTCCTTCTCTTGCGTAGCGCTTATTGCTGAGGTGATGATGAAGGGGAAGTAACTTAGGACAAATGCGCTAATGAGAATGATCATTGTTTTAGTCGTGCGTCGATATCGGCCCAGAAATTGATGAGTTTGTTGCTGCGAGCTCTGAATTTGTTTGTTGTGCCTTTTAACAGTTTTGTAAATCACAACATAGCACCAGGCCACAGCTGTTAATGTAAGGCAGCAAAAAGCAATAAGTATGTACGTGACAACTTTGTCTTTCACCCAAAACCACAGTAACGTTATCCATGTGACCCATATCACCCAGTAAATAAGAGCCGTGATGAAAACGCGGGTGGTTGTTATCAACTCAGCATAACGAAGGTGTAAACGAAGGGCGAGATATCGCTCAAAGCTAATGGCTGAAAGCGTCAGGAATGAAATCCCATTAAACATCCAGCCCGTATAGAAATGAATAAACACGGCCAAGCAGTAAATTTCCATTTTTCCAAGAAGAAGTGAAATTTCTGCCACCAGGAAGGAAGGTTCCGAAGTCAACCCAACGAAGAAGTCGGAAACTGCCAACGAACAAAGTAAAACATTTCTCGGTTGGTGAAGAACTGGTGTCCTCCAAATTGCGATGATCACCACCGTATTAAAAAGCAGTGTTGCCAAGCACATTATGGAGCCAACAACGCAAGCCCATATAGACGATATTCTGTAGAATCTTGGTAAATTTTCTCTGGCTTCCATATCCAAGAACGGTTGCAGAGAATGACAGACGGATTGTCTGGTTGCTGTATAGTTTTGCGAAGCGAAGCTCGATAAAGCTGTTGAGTTCGCCATAATTACTTTATAACAAACCGAGGATCCTTTTTACATAAAGCTGATTTGTATTCTCACCTCTGAATAAATTTGGATATGTTTGAACAAACATCTGCCTTTTGAGGATTGGCAATTAACTTGCTCTTAAAGCAAAATACGTTTAGTCATCGAATAGCCAACTGGTCTGCCTCCGGTCAGTTGGGATTCTTAAAAATGTTATGTTCAATTTGAATTATTTGTTTCAGTTGTTTGCTCGCCCCCACTACCCCTTGTGCTGATGAACACTGCCGAGGGCAAATAAAGGTTATATTATTATTATTGTCACTGGATGGTCAATCAGTGTCTCTTGCATGGGTTTCGCCTGTAAATATGGTCCGATGAGGTATTTTAGTGTGCTTAGAAAGGTACAATAGTGCTTAAAAAGTTCATTTCAAATCTGTTAACCTTCGTCTGCATGTCTGAGTTTAACACGAGCTAGTGTTTTGCAATTAACTATTTAATAATTTACTACCTGTATTGAAATACAGTGGAGACTAATAACGACGTTCCCTTTTTTATTTATTTTTTGGTCGAGTTCGAAATTAAATACGAGAATTATTTTTCAAAATCCCTCGGTTAATATGCATTTTGTATTTTTTTTTCAGCAAATTTGCAGCTTTTGACCGATGGGGGTGGTCCATATTGTTCTCTGTATTTTGCTTCCCATGTAAGTGAAAGCGTCGGAAATAAAGAAATAAATATTGCTGTGAACAGATACATGTACTCGTGCAGACATCCGCATACCATTGACATCTCGATCGTTAACAACCCAAGCAATCAAAGAGTGAAAGGATTTTCGCCCCGACACTTTCTGTGCTTTGAATTTTAGAAAACCTTCCGGCGTTTCAGTAAAGCTCAGTACTGAGCTAAACTTCAGGAATAAAGGATGATATTTTGCACGTCTTATAGTATAAACACAATTTAAGCCAACGCAGTTATAGCTTTTAGCAGTGGTAATTCGGTGAAATCACAATTCAGTAATATGTTCATTCAATTTTTGACGAGTAACCCTGGAAAATACATTCGCAAATTTAGTTAATAGGTTTAAAGAAAGATCTTCTGTGTCTTTATGGTTCTTCGAATTAAGCGATGAACGAGAAATTCGATACAAGCAAGAGCTTTGCCGAGTATTTCTACAGCTTTTTCGGATTCTCCAAAGCAAGGCTAACGAGTGTTTCTGTAACTAGAAACACGCAAAAACTTTTTTTCTTTTTCTTACCAGAAAACCAGTTGCAATTAAGCCAATTATCCCGGATGCTTTCTATGCAATTTTTTGCCCTCCCCCCTCGAAAAAATTAATTAATTAATTAATTAATTAATTAATAAATCAATTAACAAAGAGTCCTATAGGCATCTTCTGGGGAGAACGTTTTTCAAAGTTTCATTTGCTAGGTTTATGGCTAGGAACAAATAGTAAATGTTTAGGTCAGGGACACAAACAAACATAGAGACACACACAAAACAAGTATTCCATCATTCCTGTTCAAGCAATTGAAATACTCAATATTCCTTAACGATTTGAAGTGAATTTAATTTTGCGCCGTTTGGTAGGACAAAGGGATCAGATGGTATTTTTTCAAAAGAGAATGGTATGTCATTAATAAAGAGGTTGAACAGTAACGGGCTCAAAAGACAACCTTGGCGTACCTCTCTTGCGTATGGAAAGGGCCATGTTTGATTTTGGCCAAGTTTTATGGAACATGTAGAGTTTGAATACAAGCTCTTTACTAAATTGAAAAAACAGCCACCGACATTAATTTGTAATAACTTAAATAAAAATGAGAATTCTTATTGGTTCCCTGAGTGGCCCGAATTTTGTAACACGGAGCGCTAAGATGAGTCAGGGCAAAAATAACAGTAAGATTCGCATTTACTTAACTCTCTTATTTGTAAGCAGATTCTTACCTTTGTTTCATTGAAGGAAAGTGAAAACATGAAGATAGAGGTCATATGCTAACGCGTTTTACGTGAATATCTATAAATGCGCTAGTAATTATATTGTATATATGTATCTTGTTCTTCACACTTAAATGCAACATATATAGAATTCATATGGTTAGTACTTTGGCTGTGCTCTGTTTGCTGGGTAATGAAACTCAAGACCCCCAAGTGGGGTATCTTGGCCCCAGGTGTGGCAGTTTATTTTGATAGCAAGCTTAGAAAGCTTAAATTACGAACATACCAAATTATTAGTCCAGGGAAGGTGAGGAAATTCTTGACTTTCACTAAAAGTATGAGGTCAATCGGTGAAGGTCCGAAATTTGCCTAATCCGTTCTTATGCAGACAGCCTTTTAAGAGCTATTATAAAAGCTAGCCTTGAAATTAAGGGATAAAGTTCAGCTCTAGTGTTGTTGCATTGTACAAGAAGTACGAGCGTCAGTTAGAAGTTTCTCCACTTAAACTTGCGTACACAGCCTTTTAAATCCACAGTCTAGAAATTGAATTTTTTTTTGATGATGATAATGGGAGCCCTATCGCACTGAAACAGAAGAAAAGGAACAGTTCGTATCTAAATCTGGCTTAGAACTCTCTTACTAAAGGTTGTATCTAACAGAAATATGTAGATTGAGGCCAGTCTAACAGCGTAGCTCCTGGGCCGGGTTGTCCAGGGACCGGTTAAGCTAACCCAGGATAAGGTAGAATTTTGATTTAGGTTTTGTAACTTTGCGGTGAGGTTTTCTGTATATTGTTTGGCTTTCTATTTTGAGTTTTAATAATCCCAAATTACACAAAACAAAAGCAGTGAAAAACATTTGTATAGAAGAAAAAGCTATAATTCGGTTAACTTTTAATCCAGGGTTAGCGTTAACTGGCTTCCGAACAACCTGGCCCTGTTTTCAACGAATTAACCTGACATGAACCCACAATCCAATCGAAAACCAGCACTCGGTCAGCAATCAACTTCAAAAAAATAAAACGTGGGTTCTAAACTTGAACCTGCGATATGGTCACGTGATACTGGTCAGCAGATGCCTTGATTTGACAGGTGTCAATTGATCATGACATGGATGTCCAATATCAAAGAAGTACACGGTAACCAAGGCTGCATGTCTCTGTCAAACTATTATTTGGATTATGGCTGTCATGTTGTGCGACTCTGTCGCCGTCGCCCTCGTGCGTACGCGCCCACGAACAATACCGCTAGCCATGATAACCATGAGAAACTCAACTCATGGGTTTCCTTTTCTTTCCTACATGAGTATGGGGCTCCGCTGGGCGGACCTTCGGGCCGCCGGAGCTGCGCTATAAGCTTGCAAGGTAACCAAGTGTAAATCGTTGTTAAAAAATGCCAGGAATTGAACTGAAAATAAAAAAAGTTAGTCTAAAATATGGGATTTGTATAAAAAGTGGGTTCCTGTTGAAACTAAATGTGCAGATGTGTATTTATTATCGTATATGAAGAGCTAGTATAAAAGCTAACTTTGAAATTGAGGAATAAAGCTTAGCTCTAGTGTTGTTACTTTGTATACGAATCACAAGCGGATATTTATAGTTGCTCCACTTAAACTTGCGCTAACAACGTCTAAAATGCACCGTTTAAAAATTAAACTTTATTTGATGGTGAAAATCGGCGCGCAATGGTATTAAAAGTCAAGAAAAGACAAAGCTCTTATCCAGACCTGGCTCTGCATTAGGCTTGGCTTGCATTAAACTTTAAACTCCCTATCAGCTTTAAAGAATTTGAAGTCATCGGTGCCAAACGAAACATTAACAACATCACTACATCTAAAAATTAATATCTAGCAGTAAACATGATGATTTAAATACATAATGCATGAAGCTGTTAGATCAATTACTTAGTTCGGTTATATACAAAGATATGCCGTAAACAGAGACATAATCCGAAAGTCACCGCTTTGTTTACATAACTTTCAGAAACTATCCCAGCGCTTAAAGCTTTTAAAAAAGATGTCGCATTACTATTTTCGAAAAGTTCTACAGTACTTGATGCATCTACATCCATATGCAAATGCATAAGTCCTTGTGAAT